ATATTTTATCATAAATGAATGCATTGAGTAGAGTTATATTGACGCATAACCTTAGGCGATTGTTGTTACTTTTACTAGCTATATGAAAGTTCTAAAAGATTGGGATCATGATGTCCGTAGTTGTCAAACGTTCTAGATCAACGATTGCTTGTGCGTATCAACAAAACAAGGAGGCTGCAACGTTCATAGCTGCCGAGGGATCTAGGTCGACGATTGCGCATGCGTTTTCATCATCCCCTTCTCTCATTTGACCGGCATACATGAGTTAGGCACCGTTATTGATCGAACAAAGATTGGGATCGCGACATAAAGGAATTCCACACTGCTCGAGCAGGAAAGTGAATGTATTGCAGCATACAATAGTTCTACGCTGTTCTTAATTTAAAAAAAACGATCGGGATCACAGAGTTCTGCTGCGCTCGCGCAATCGAGATCGGGGTGTCAGATTCTAAGGATGTCGTACCAATCTACAATGACGGCGGGAGTTCGAAGAAATTCTACCACATCGACTAGTTCCAGTAATTTCAAAACTACATCACCTCACCCTACCCATATATCAACTGAGTATTATCCCCAGAATTTGATCAATGCTCGAGTTATTTGAGAGGTTGTTCAAGATCTCTATTCAAATTTGGAAACATCGTCCCAAAATTTTGTTAAAAACTCGACTTTGAAAATCTAAATAAAATGATTGTGATGTTACGACAATGATGGCATGAGCTTGATCAATGCTATGATGACATCTGAAAAAGATTCAAATGATTATTTTTGCCACCACAAGAAAAAAGAGAAAAATGATCGGGTCTACATGTGCTTGACCGGTCTTAGTCGAAGTTTAAACGAAGTCCGAGGTCGCATCCTCGGTAGGAAACCTCTATCATCAATTGAAGCTCTTTTGGTACTTAGACATGAAGAGCCAAGAAGAAGAATTGTGTTGTGAAACACCGAATCATATCGTCTATTAATAATGAATAGAAGAAATCAACTCTTGTGCCAAAAGGGGTTGACACTACAAAGAAGACAAAAAAAAAACCATCGTGCGAGCATTGCAAAAAAATCACGGCACACGAAAGAGGCATGTTAGAGGCTTCATGGTAAACCTGCAAATTGAAAATCAAAATCCAAGCATGAAGATCGAGCTTATCAAGTCATTGCTCTAGAAACTCATGAGTTGCCTGGTAACTCGAACACAATTTCTTTCACCAAAAGCAATTAGAGCACTTCAACAAATCATTTCGAACTCCAAAATTTTCCCCACCTTAGTCACTGCTTTGTTAAGTGGTATTCCTAATTTTTCTCATTCGTCGATAATTGATTCTGGTGCAATCAATCACATGACTGGTTCTAAATTATTTTCTTCGTATAGACCTTATGCAGGCAAAATAAAAATAAAAATTATTGATGGTTCCCTCTCAGTAATTGTTGAGATATGATCTATAAAACTCTTCTCGTTAACTCTTTGTGATATTCTTCGTGTTCTTAATCTATCATGGAAAGTATTATCCATCACTAAAATTAATATTGCTCATCAATGTCAAACTAGCTTTTATTCTTTTTGTTGTGAGTTTCAGAAATTAACCAATGGGAGGATTATTGGTTGTGCTAAGGAAAAGGGCGGACTCTACTATTTTGATAATGAACTTGACACGAATAACAATGTCAAAGTATTGTTTTAAATTTTATTTTAGTTTTCTAAGGACAATGAAATTATGTTATGGTTTTATAGGTTAGTTCATCCCAAATTTCTTTATCTAAAATATTTGTTCCTCAAATTATTTCAGAATAAAAAAATCTTGTTGTTTCAATGTGAAGCGTCAGTTTACTAAGCATCATCTCGTATCATTTTCTCCACAAATATACAATCCAATTACACCATTTACTTTGATACCCTAAGACATTCGGGGAAAAATAGTTTGTGACATTCACTGTTGATCATACTAGATTAAATTGTGTTTATTTAATAAAAGAAAATACTAAAGTAGAAATAACTCTAAAAAAATTTTACACTATGGTACAAATAAAACTTCAAACAACTATTTAAATATTACAGAGTGACAATAACCAAGAATATTTCAAAAGCACGTTGGGTCAATTCTTTCTTGAAAAAAGAATTATTCATCAAAGCCTTTGTATTAACACTCAACAAAATGAATTGGATGAAAGAAAAAACAAACATCTGTTAGAAGTAGCTCAGACATTGCTATTTACCAATTAGGTGCATAAATATCTTTAAACTAAAGCAGTTCTCACTGCAATATTTCTCATAAACAGAACACTAATAAGATTTTAAAACACCTTTTGATGCTTTTTTAAAAAAATAAAAAAAAATTAGGTCTCATCTTCTCCATTTCTAAAGATATTTGGGTGTATTATTTTCATTCACATTCATAATCAACAAAAACTTACACATCAGGCTAAAAAATGTGTGTTTGTTGGTCAGGTTCCTAACCAAAATGAGTATTAATTTTTTTTATCCCAATTCTAAATAAATGTTTATTATCGTGGACAATGAGAAGAACAAAATAAAAATGTGTCTATGAGTTTCAAGATTTTCTTCAAACCGAATAATATGAAGATAGTACGTCCCAAACCGAAACGAGCTATTTGCATGTCAGTACTGCTCAATAAATAGTTTATGCCTTCACCAAAGAATAATTCAGGCCGAACTTTGAGGTCCTTATAAGCAAGTTGATGATAGATAGATATCTATGCTCCAACTTGAGGAGGTGTTGAAATTAATTATGAAATTTTATTTTTAGCATCTTTTGTTATTAGAGTTTTGTATTATTGGCATGTTATAATTTTTGTTTCCTTTTTTATCATGAGTAGTTATGGTTGATTTATGATGTTCCTAATATGGGAGACATCCCCTCTATTTATTTTGTAATCATTTCATAAATATTGAAGAAGAATAATTATTTTTTCCCATCCAAAAGCTACAAGGTGTTATAAATGCAAAAAAATAGGTGTTAGATACATAGGAATTATGTGGTATGTATGTGAATGCCCCGAAATTTTTTTTCCTCTATATCTATATAGAAGTTTACTGAAACACAACAAAAGTGTGTTTGTTCACGTTTACATCTGCCTATTCTGTATCTTCTAGAAGATTCACTCTATATTAAGTTGTTTAAGTGGAGCTTACTGATTGGCACTTTATATTGATAGATCAGTTAAACAATCACTGTAGCGAAAAACCATGTTGCTTCCTGAAATTTGTAAAGAAAAAAAAATAGATGTACTGGTAGGAATTAAAATGGTTGAAATCAAGTATTTTAATCTCGTGATTGTGATATGATTCAAGTCAAGTTTTCACAGAAATTAGGGCACAAAATATGTTTATTGCAGACATACCAAACAACAAAATATAAACACATAAAGATACGCACCTACGATTCGAGAGGTAGACGATTTCTCCCAATTACTACAATTCGAAAGGTGAGAAATCTCTCCCAAACCCTAAAACTAAAACTCAATAAACAATCTTCTGAATAACCCTAACTCTCAAAAAATTAGCCCTATTTATACTAAAAAACAATAAATAACAAAACACTAATGCCCTTAAGCTCACCAAAGGTAAATTGTCCTTAAACTAGGCACCAACATAACAATACCACCCTTCCAAAAATACACCCTATCCTCGAGATGAGAAAAAAAAGAAACTGTTGCTAAATCAAGTCGTGTGACTCCCGCTCATAAACTAGCTTAAGTCTGGTTCTCGCTGTCAACCCTACTAAACTTGTTATAGCCTTCTTTAACTTCTCAAAAATCTAAGTCATCACTTTGGCCTACGGGTGTCAAAATTGACCTGACACACCAACATGACTCGAAAAATTTGAGTTAGGGTCGATCTGGATATTTTTCAAGCTGGGTTCAGGTTAGAAAAATCGACCCATTTATTATTCGGATCGGGTTTGGGTTGAATCTCAAAAACCAAACATAACCCGAATAAACATGAAACTTTGAGTCGAGTTTGGTTTAGCAGGTCAAACTCGGGTTTTGGGCTTAGTTTTCGATCTGTTTGTTATTTGAATCGAGTTTGAGTTGACCCTATTCGGGTAGGATCATTTTCCAACCGGGCCCGAACCCGACCCGCTGACTCGAATTAACACACCAACATTCCCCCGCTAAAAGTTATACTTCTTCAATTTCTTCCTCTATGGTCGCACAATAAAATGACAACCCATCACAAACTTTTGATAGTATCATATAAGTCCCATCAGCTTTCTTAACTCCATCCAGGTTTTAGGTAGCAGTCCCTCCAATATAGTTGTCACCTTCGATGGATCTGCTAACACCAAGATCTTGAACAGGCTAGGGTCACTGTGAAGCACCACCTTCCTTCCATCGACGCCACGCTAATCTCTATAGTCAAGAATTTCCAATCCACCCACGTCTCTTCGATTGAAATACCCAACTCCCTCCATCGAAAAACTCTAATTCATCCCTCATCAATGTCCTAGAGGGAGTTCTTGATGGTGGATGTTTTCCTTTTTATATTTCTCACGTTCAATCTCTTTTCCTTTCGATTTGGCCATGGATACTACGTTCAACCCTTTTTAGGGTTTGTCAATTGAGTTTGCAGGGTCTTGAACTACATCTCAATAAGTTTCCTTCTCATCTCCTCCAAGTTCTAGAATCTATTGTCAATGGAGAAAAATCTTTCTTCTACCTTGAATTTAAGTTGTCATATCTCTCCTTTCAATCTCTCTTCCAAAGCATCAACTTTTTCTGTTGAAATCTCTTATGGACAATTTTGAAACTCCTTTATCCCGTGATTCCATTATTTGGCTTCCAACCGTCTCAAATCAAACTTGTATTGAGACTAAGGCACAACGGTGACACAGCCAAAAACTTCTTGATCTTGCACGCCACAATCCTATAGTTGGCTATATCGCGAGGTTCAACTTCGTGATCCCATTCGTTGGCTTCCCATCTAGTTGAATCGCGTCTATATTGCACTTTGATCATGCAAGTGATCCCATCATCCGTTTCCTCGCTTAATCGCTATTATTTTGGACCCTAATGGTCGCACATCTATTGTTGGCTTCCCCGCAATTATTCGCGATCCCATCATTGTTGTCCCAGCTTGGTCGGATCGCAACTGTATCGCACAGATACCGTATGTTGCGATCTGTCAGTGGATTCCCATGCGTGACTGGATGGCAAGGTTTGGTACCGAAGGCAATAAAACGTGATTCTACTGTTGCTTCCCATTTAGCTCTAATTGTGTTTGTATCATGAGGTTCGTTACGCTGCAATTTCATTGTTGCTTCCCGGTTAGCTCTAATAGCAACTATATAGTGACCTTTGGTGTCGATGGCTACGAAACCTTACATTCAGCTATACAATCATTAATTTCTCAAGAATCGAGAGATCTGATATCACGTTGATACAATCAAAGTAGTTTTTTCAAAAAAAACCTGGTCACAAAATGATACCGGAACTAGTAGGAAAAGTAATGAAAATACAAAAGAAAACCATCATTAATAGAAAATATGGTTACAACCTGACACAAACGGAAAATAACAACACCAACATACACGACACACGCAAACACTCTAAATGTATCCAATGGGTGGCGGAAGTCGGCTAGAGGGATATGGACGATTGGGAGGGATGATGCTAGAGGGATATGGACGATTGGAAGGGATGATTGTAGCCACGGGATGCAGGTGACAGAGAGGGGGAGGTGCAGAACTATAGGGGCAGCAATAGGTAAGCTTGTAGGTGGTCAGTGGGGTGTTACGTTGACGGAGGGAGAGTTCGGTGGCTGGAAAATGAAAGAAGGTTTTGGGGGAAGGTAAACAAAATGATAAAATCACGCCCTCGGAGATGATATAGTCAGAGCACCACCACCTCCTCGGATACAATTCACAAAAGGAAAAAGAACTCCACACAAGAATCTGAAGGCAACACAACCAGAACTGACTCTTCCATACACATAGAACAACAATTTATACTCCTGTTGAGTAAACAAAACATCTACACAAAAGAAAAGGATGGAAAGGCAAGAGGAATCCAAAAAATACTGCATGGGTGTGGCACCTCGTGTGATGCTCCCTTCTGGATCGCGACAGTTTGAGAACCCGCCTCCTACTTTGCGCTTCGTCTCATTCGTCTTCGCGATGGTTCACAATTTCCACAATCCCACTGTGATGGGTCGCAGCTCCTTCGTGTTGGCACCTTCGCGATGGTTCGCGACTCCCTCCACTTCGGTTTGCGACTCCCGCCTTCGAGACGGTTGGCGGGGGCCAAGCCCAGCAGGTTTCGAGCTCCCGCTTCGTGTGTGCTTTCAGCGCAGCGTCACAAAATTTCTTTATTTCAAAAACACCAAACAACACAACAAAAATACATAAATAAAAACACCAATAATTTGAACCTACAATTCGACAAGTATTCGATCTCTCCCAATTCCTACAATTCGAGAGGTAGGAAGTCTCTCCTAATCCTAAACCTTAGACTCGAGACACAATCTTCTACATAACTCTAACTCTGAACATATTATTCCTATTTATACTAAACAATAATAAATAACCAAAAACTAAATTCTCCTTAGGTGCACAAAAGACAAAATGTCCTTACGCTAGGCATTGGTGTAATATATTGATGAATGTAAATAAAACTGCATTATATTTAACCAAAAGTAAACAAAATCATACATATTGAAAAATATCTAAACATAATGTGAATATAATAGAAACAAATACCAAATATTTTATTAATTAAAATGAAAGTAAGGCATAAGATCGTTTAAAGAGAAGCGGACACAATGCCAATGATAAATAAAGAGAGCACATGGCCAATCAAATATCAAATTTCTTACATAGAGCAGATGAATATTTTAGTACTAGGAATGAAAGAGTAATTGATCTCATTAGACTTGAACTTCAAATGACATTCAAACAATGTCTATGATAGTCTTTTGTATGCAAATTAAATGGCTTTAAACGAAACAAGGATTCTAAGCAGCATCGATAATATGGATTAAAATATTTTAAAAAATTTATAGCAATATTAAGGAATTTCATTTACTAGCATTTCAGATGAAAGCATAATGGTATAAGATTACAAAAGCTGCATATAAAATATGTATTGAATAGTATAATACTATTACTATTTCAAATCTATATATATATATATAACATCTGTTAGAAGTACAAGAATCAGAAGGCACAACCAGAACTGACTCTTACATACACAGAGAACAACAATTTATAAACTCTTGTTGAGCAAAAAAACCATCTACACAAAAGGAAAGAGAGTGGAAAGGCAAGAGGAATCCAAAAAATACTGCATGGGTGTGGCAGCTCGTGTGATGCTCCATTCTGGATCGTGACAGTTTGCGAACCCGCCATCCGCTTTGCGCTTCGTCTCATTCGTCTTCGCGATGGTTCACGATTTCCATGATCCCACTGTGATGGGTCGCAGCTCCTTTGTGTTGGCACCTTTGCGATGGTTCGCGATGGTTCATGATATATATATATATATATATGTTTTTTTTCTTTTTATTATTTTAAAGAATGGTCGGAGTCTATTATATATATATATATATAATAGAAGCTTTTAATTAGTAAGAAGCAACCTATGTTTATATAAACTTATACTACTATATGATCATTTGCATTCAAAGTTGGTGTATAGCATACAATAGAAATAGATAGTAAGATCACGATATTTAACAAAAGAAAAACTGAGTTCAGCAGATTTCAACTGCCTGCATCAAAATAAAGTTGTCTGTAAAACAGCTAACCTAGTTCAACTTTTACAAGGAAAAACAATGGAGGCCAAAAATAGTGTTTTTTGGAAAAATACATCTAACTGGCTCATTCACCCATGTATCTAAATAAATAAAATTCAATCCAAATTTAATAAATAAGCTACATATATGGATTTGTCATCGAAGATGCACACAATTAAATCGTAAATATGTAGCCAAATTTTGAGTGATTTACAGATTGCATTATGACCAACTCCAAAGGGAATTACAGAACCCAAATTGTCAAGCAAGATAAGATATCATATCAACTTTTACAAGCGATCCATATATTGTGCGAAAAAATGATGACTTTTTCAGGTAAAAAACAACCAAAATAATATAATACGTGTTAAATAAAAGAAATACTTGAAAGATACACAAAATCCAACCATGTAAAGTTAATATTAAGCTCAGTTTAGAAAAAAAAATACCTGGCATAACCTCATTTTTGGCATATTTTTCATGCAATTGCTCAATAAATGCATGATAAGGACGCCAACCACTAGGATTTTCGTATGGGTTCACATTCTCTGCTCTTTTCTTCACATCTCTCAAGCTAGATTAAAAAAAATGCATTAGTAAGGGGTTAACAGTATAGCAAATACAGTTGTCATTCGAGCAAATCCCACAAGAGCAACTTACATTTCAAGGATATCCGACGGTACAAGTTTAGGCACGAATGAGAGAACGGCTGCCTCCAAAAAAGACAGCTGCTTCGGAGCATCAATAAAAGCAAAAGAAATACCATCCTTAACAATCTTTAAAATGTCCAATCTAAACTTGTTACGAGCAGCGCCCGAAAATGTTGCTGAAAGCCTATTGGCCAGTTCCACACAATCTGTAAAAGACTTTCCCGTGACGGTTACATAATTACTCTTCAATTGTTCCTCCGTATGACGCTGGTAAGCCTAGTTCACGAATAATCAATCATAAATGGACAACATGAAGAGAGAACTTACATAATATCATTAGAGTTTAAAATAAATTTAAATCGCAATCATTTTAAGAGGAGGCATGTCTGGAAAAAATAGAAATAAACAAAAGAAAAAGCTAATATGTGATCTGGCAAAAGTAGTCTACATTATTGTAATAAGAATACTAATTAGACCAAGAATGGCAATTTTAAACATTACACAATTGGCCTTACATGGCAAAATCCCATATTAGGAAAGTCTTCATGGAATATCGAAGCCAACATATTTCCGTAGCATTCACAAGAATATTGGGTTGAGCCAGTTTAGAGCTTGTCTTGAATGTTTAACCACGTGTACATAATATTGCTTTTAACTTTTGTTATATGTGTGGTAAAAAATGATAAATCTCAATAAACCGCACTGTCATCAGCCTTGTTTGAACCTACTCCATCCTGTCCAAGGCTTAAAATTAAATTGGAGGGGCCACAAGTACTCATATATATAATTGGGATCTCAAACAGTAAACCACCCGCAATAAATACAATAAATTAGTTCAAAATCCTAAACACCCAATAAAATTTTCTTTAAATTGAAACTCCTAACAAATTCATAAGTAGCGGCATTTTAATCTATTCAAATTAAAATCAAATCAAAAATTAAATATTAACATAATTACCACAAAACCGTAGCATCAGCCCCGAAATTTGAAAAGAAATCTAATTTGCAATCTCATGAAATGGCTAGTTCAAATTACCTCTAAAGACTTCTCACAAAAAAAGTTATGGAAATAAGAAATGTCAAATAAAAACAACTAATTACTAGATAATCCTATTTTTAAATGCATAAAGTCTTCATCAAACAACTGGATATAGGGACTACGTCAGAGAAAGGTCTAGTTTAAATAATTTGCATCAAGCATTTCACTAAACACAATACACGCCAGTTACTCCATGGAAAAACTTTCATAATTATCAATGAAATAAATAAAGGAGACATAATTTAGAAAATTACCCTTTTCAGTGCCTCTAGAAACATTTCAGGAATGTCATTGGAAGTTTTCTTTAGAACTGTAATCAGATGCTTGATGATTTCTGAAGTGCTCGTCCCATGCATCACAAAATGCGAAATGATCTCTGAACCAAGATACTCCTACAGTTATTCAAAACGTCTTTTGAGCATTTTGGCAAACCATACCAGCAAGGGAGCTCATAAAAGACTTGCAATAAATGCCAGAATGATGAATAATAATTCTAAATAAGATAACAAGGTGCACATGAGCTGTAAAAGTGAAACTAAAAAAGATGAACATGGCGAATTTATAATAATCATCATCTGCCAATGTAAGAGAGCGGTATAAGAATTAGTATTACGTCAAAACACAACTAAATAAAACCAGAACTTTCCATGATGGATAACTTAAAAAGAAGATAAGATTAGCTGAATAGATACCCTTAAGCACATAAGAATCTGATGAGCTACAATTAATTGATATATTTCTCTAAAAAACTAACATTTCAAAATATAAATGTGAGAAAATTGTAACCAAGCTAAACAAAATCACATGGAAAAAACACAAAAATCTATAATGGAAACTTTTAATGAGATAGTGAGGCAGACAAAAGAAGCAAAATAAAATGGCAAGAAAAGGATATCAATTCTTGACTGAATATTTATTACGTTCAAATAATGGCCAGTGTTTACATGCCGAAGGCTGTTTCAGGAATCTTTTTTTATTATTAACTTATAGTCACTGATAAAATTGCAATTGCAGTCAAGATTTTTCTAAACCTAAGATCCTTTCCAGAATATAAAAGGGTGAAATCACATTATGAAAACATAAGCATAGGAATGTAAACACATTAATTGCTAGTATGAACAATGCACCTCTTTATAAGAAAGATATGTCAACATACTTCTACAGATATCACACATGTATAGAAGAGTACACAGTTATACAGAAAAGAGCGTTCGCACAGATACCAATGTGCTCGGGTATCCAAAATTCCAAATATAATGTTGATAAAAGCCCCCAACAAATCAAAGCTAAGGAAAGTTACCCTGGAAACAGCATTGTTGATCACTAACTTCGCAGCAGCAAGCAGTACCGCGTCTTTGTTGGTTTCTTCAATATATTCTTCATTTGCAAATTCATCTTCAGTCTCATCTGTCAATTTACATGAGCAATATAATGTCTATTGCCTCAATAAATAATACAGAAAATATGAAGCCCCTGTCCAAAATGTAAAACAATAAACAGATCAATCTCCTATTAATGATGGCCAAGGATTGTAAAAAACCTGAAATGTTAAGTATTTGTTCACAAAGTTTCCAAAACTTCTGAACAGTAGATAAATCCGGGCAATATCCTAGACTCTCCAGTTTTGTGGATGCATATTTTGACGTCTTGAACAAGTTCCACATTTCTGCTAGTATGATGGAAACCTATCAATGTATTGAATACAGAATTACTGAATCAGCTGATCACAATAAATGTTGAAATCCAAAATGTTTTTGGTTTCAATTTGCAATAACAAAATGAAAACTTACTCTGAATGGAAGAACTGTTCGACGCCTTTCCTCATGGACTACGACCAAGGAGTCCATGAGGTGTTCTAGCTGCTCAAAGAGATTCGTTCTCTTGGACAAAAGCACCGTTAAAGAGACCTCAGAGGGATTTTCACCATCAATTGAATACAAAGACCAAGCTACCTGTAAATACATATTGAGAAGTACAAAACCAAGCACCTGAAAAAAGAGAATCTATAAGATAATGCCCAAGAAGAAAAACTTTAAAAAAAAAAAAATATATATATATATAAAGCATGCCTCATCATCCAATCCTTTTACATTAAAAAAAAAAACAAAATATAAAGCATGCCTCATCATCCAATCCTTTTACATCTCTAAGAATGCTAGCCAATTCATCATATAAGTCATCATTAGCAACATTTTTCTTCAGCTGAACCTCATACAACCGTTTCAAATTAACCAAAAGAGAATACTCATCATCTCCAACCTGCAAAGTAAAAGTCACTGTTCATTCAATGTTATTGAAAGGAATACAGAAAAAAATATATGCACGCACCTTTACAGCTTTTATGGCAGCCTTCAGCTTAACTAGTAACTCATTTTCGAGATCTTTTAGCTTATTCTTGGCATAATCTTGCAAGTCCGCTTGACTCTCGGTGGAACAAAAGATAAGAGCCTTTATACAGGATTTCAAAGCATCCTCCTCACCGTGTTTAAAGAATGCTTCGGCAATCAGATCCAAAATAGACTTAAAACTCTGAATAAACAGGTAAAGAAACAACCGTATTTAGTAAAATAACAAAGGTAAGGAAAGACAAAATCGAGCATGCAAATCAACAAACCTGCTCCCGCCTTTTAAGTGAGTATAGCTCTAGGTTCAAAAGCAAAAGAATTTCAACTAATGCAGGTAACTTTGCTTTATCCGCAATAAATTTTTGCAGCAGCTGTGGATAGCTCTTCATTAAGGCAGCTGTTATTTCTCTCCTGTTATTATCTAGGGCCTCCTGAGAAACAAAGCAGCATAAAAACATAAGGCATTGTCCAATGGCAGTCTATGCGATTAATAACTTTAATTGGTGCAAGAAAAGAATTTGAGAAAAGCCAAGCTTAAAGAACAACTGAAAGCAGTCCAATGTAACTTGCTGAAAACATATCATGTTTAATGAAGAATCGCAAGTCCGAGCATGCAAGACCGAGGATAAACAAATATGCATAACCTTGATTGTTAATTTTTATAATATGAGAAGAATGAAAGTTAATTTGTATCAATACAACAGCAAAAGAAATATCCACAAGCAAGACCAA